TCATTAGATCTTAGAGGGCTTTGAACAGGGAGGTCAGTGCTCAACTACACCCGTTTTCCAGAGGCAAAGAACACTGAAGGGCCCAGCAGCAGAGGAGAGCGACACAAGCTGTAATTATTGCTCTTATAATGAATAACACTAGTTTTGGACAGGCGTCGCATATTGAGAAACAGCCTTTGCTGAAACATCTTCCTGCGCAGCTGCCTTCTTCTCCTGCTCCTGTTTTCTATGATGTTTAATACAGGAGGTTTCCTGGAGAGCTGTTTCCATGCACAATTTAAGGTATTCAGGAGGAGCTTTGAAAAAGCTAGTGCTTTGAATAGGCATTTTTGTTGCCATTCAGAATCTTTGCATCAGATCCAGAAACTCTGGCCCTGTTCCTCAAAACATGCCCCAAGCCCATGCAATTGCAAACTCGGCAAATCCATCCATGTTTAACTTGCAAATTTTGCCAAGGGACTTTTCAAACAGGAGAGTGACCACAACTGCCCTTTTGAATCCTCYTTTTTCATTTACATTAGGAATCTTTTCTCCACTTAGGTTCCTCTCACCCAAAGCACCCGACTCACGCTCCATAGGAGATGCAAACACGTATGGCATCCATAGGGGCCCCTCCTGCTCAGCCACGGCTTCGCTAACCTCTACACTTGCAGCACAAGGACACAGCAGCCCAGCTCTTCCAGGCCCATCACTTCTGCGTAGAGCCTTTCATGGAGAAAGATAGGATCGACCTTCATTCCTTCTGCTTCCAAGTTTGTCTTTGCTTTGCTCCTCATTCCTCTGTGCTCACACACGTAGGATGAGAAGCTAACAGGCTTTCTCTAAGCTTTCATGTTTTGAGCAAGCTCCCTACCATAACATACGTTCACCTTAGAGAGCACTGCATTACTGAGGGTCACTGGTAAGTCACCTATGCATTACTGTGACCCATAGGCAAATAATCAGCAGGCTGCACTGAATGAGTTGCAACCACAGACATAAAGCTAATTAGCCCTGCAGATACCTGCAATCTAATAATTGCAGATTCTTCTACAAGTGCTGTGCACGTTACATTATGCCTTTGCTCACAGCGTGGTGCGAAGGCAACTGGCATGGGCAGATCTGCCGCCGGGAATCGTGATGTGTGGTCCACAGAACTTTTCCTGATGGTTAGCAGAGCCGGCAGATTAATAGAACTGCTCTTTATCTCATTATTCTATTCTCTACAGGCAATTGTAGTAAATGCCACAGGGATGCTAGGCTGTCACTAAAAGGAATGGGAAAAAGATGAGTTCAGGAAGCAGGTTCTAAAGATAAGGTTCATTCTCTGGCAGTTCAGTAGTCTCTGGCATGGATAAATCCAAACTCTTCTGCAAAACAATTGAGGCTTCTCTCTCACTCAGGATTTGAGTTAAAATGTCTTGTGCTGCCCTTGGAAGATCCAACTATAGCTCAAATGCTAACAAAACAGCAGTCTGGCAGTGGCTGCAGCAGGCGGAGGAAGCGCAAGGGAGGTTTCCTTGGGAGAACACACAGCTCGTGGGCTCGGGAAGTCTTTCCTCTAACCCAAGATACGCACTAAGTAGATAACTAGACGTGTCAGGAGCCGACCACAGGGAGCATCAAACAGCAACCATACCCATCTCCACAGGTCACCACAGACACAGGATGCTGGAGAATCACACATCCCAGTGCAGGCTCTGAYTGAGGCTTGTGAAGTGCCATCATTTCCAGCCCGGAGGACTCTCCTCTCCCTGCCAATAGCCAGCACACATCTGCCAGAACCCAGATCTCCTAGCAAGATGCCCACAAGGAGTTTCAGCTCAAGATCCATGATAATTTACTGAGCTCTTGCTCTATACAAAGAAACACATGTGCAAATAATACTTACTATGAAGATACTTATAAAGAACTTTTATACTGTCATTAACCATAAGCTTCTGTGGTCTCCCACTCCCCAAAAAAAGGTATTTACTCACAGCTTGAAACTTTGAGGCATCTTGGCACATCAACTGTTATCATAGCAATAATCTGATTTGGTTTCCTTCCCAATTCACTCCTGGAAGGAACTATTTTAACTAAGAAAAACAAACCAGAAGGTAAGTGTACTTAAGACTGCAATAGGCTTAAAACCAAAACACCTTTTCCGCTTGCCCCCACATCTGAAGGAGGAAGCACAAGCACTTTCGGAAAACATTTTCAGCCAGCACAACACCCACATTTAAAGCACGCTTTCCACGGCTCTTCAAGGCAATGACAGGCTCCTTGGGGACTGAGTTTTAGCTACACAAATGGACTTTATTAGTCTGGCCAAGTGGCAGACCAGGAGATCAAAGAATTGCCCTTGCTAGGCCATGCAGCTTGCTCAGCTCTGCATACAGTGGACTCTGCTGCCTCCAATGCTGAACTGTTCCAAGGCACAAAAGTCCCAACTTCACAGCTGTATGGAAACGGAGACACCATTTTAAGCTGAAATCCTAAAAGCAACTAACAGGTTCTGGCARCAAATGCAGTGCAGACTGCAGCAGTGCTACTGCCCCAGGGCCCTGGAGATGTCCCCTGTCAGCAAAACAAAGATGCTGAATCCTTGCAACCTTGGGTACAAAGAGCACACAAAGACTGAAACGTTAATCTGTCTGTTGGTGTAAACACAACCTAGAAAGTTTAATAAACATAAATTTTAGGTAAGTTTTAACAAAATCATTATGTAGAGAGATAGCAGCAGCAGCACTTTTTACTTGAGTTCAGGAGATGGCCGGACTCCTTCAAAAGAAGGATTTTATAATGGCAAAAAACCACCCCACCCCTAAGACTGACTGTAGCCACAGCCAGGTCACCTGAATCACGTCTCAGGAGAGCGTCACCAGCGGAGCACTGGCCGGACAGGCAGYTGGGAATGTCCCACTGTTGCTAAGAGTGACTTGGATTAACACTGTAGCTCATACTGTACTTTTTAAGGCCAAACTTAGTCCCCTGCCATTCTTCTACGTGAACTGCTAATAGTCACTACTTGTTACCCAACTGGAGACTGCAYGGATGTTCTCTAAAGCTCTATAGTTCTCTATAGGAAAATTCTCTACAGACATCTGCTGCTCCTGCACAGCAGGATTTCAGGTTGGTGACTTACCGTATTTCACTACTATTAGTATTTATGGTCCTCTACTCAAATATATCCAAACATCCACCCACTTGTTTTCACTTGTTTAGGTTGTCGACCCCAGCAACAGGAGTCACAGAGCTATGATCACCACATCAACAGCAGGTCGCTACTTCCTATCCCAGGAAGCTATTTTAAATACATTAAAAAAAAAAMCCCACACAACTTACAGATTTCACATCTAGAATCGCTGCTTGCTGCCCACAACAATTAATACCCCCCATCTCCTCCAATACATTGTGTATCCTAAGATCAAGTCATGAGTTGATCTTGTGACTGCTGGAAGGCCTGCTAAGAGTGAAATTAGAGTGGGAGTTAATGAGTTCAGCTTGAGCCTTTGGGCATTGTGCTTTCCAGCTTCCCCCTGAGCCACTAAAGTTGTAAAATGAAGAAACATTCTTAGATCATCGTTTAAGGGAAGAAGAGTGAAGGAAACAGATTAGTCTCCTTCTYAGAGCCGCACCAGTAATTGTAGGACTATACTGAAGTCATGGGATTGTGCAAACACAACAACTTTCTTTGGTGCTTCATCAGAGTTGATCCCAAAACCAAAGCCCAAGTCTTGTTTAAGCCTTTCAAATAACAGAAGTTACCACTTCCATCATTACCCACCCACACAAACAATGTTAAATAAGGAACTATGACACCCAAAGAGCTCACAAAAGGAGGACTATTTCAGCTTCACTTGCCCTTTACTCTCTCTGGAGGGAGTCTAATTCCCTTCATAAAATTTGACTGTAACATTTTAAGCCAAGAAAACATTCCCACTGCTCAGGTTGCCTAGTTGCACATACAGGTTTTGTTTATAGTGTAGTTAAAGTAATTATTTACATGGCTTAAAGGATAGCAGACAGTTTTCAAGACTTCCAGAAATCCATCCTTACACCACACACTATAAAAATGCCGTCAGTACCTGTTACCGCAGCAGCTGAGTTGTTTTGGTTTTTAACAGATAAGCAGTTGCCAGAAAGAAGTAACTGAGAATGAACAACTCCATGCAAAACAATCCCAATGAAAACAGAACAAAACCAAACCCAACCTGGATTCTCACACAGAACAAAACCAAACCCAACCTGGATTCTCACTGTTCTCCTGTCCTTGACGTAGAAATTCCACCAAGTCTGCAGCAATGAACATCCATGCACCCACTAAATGCACTATTTTAAGCAGCAGGTGCCCTCATGGCCTATGGTCACTCTGTGCTTGATCTTCTAGGAAAAGAGCTTTTCCCAAATGCCAAAGTTGCACACAGGGACATAATCAGCAGGGAAAGAAACACACACAGAGGATGACCAGCAGTGCTCAAGTCTCTGCTGTGCTAATCCCGCTGCTAAGATAATTCACATCAGATCTTAATGGCAACAGAGAGACATTTTAAGCAGAGAACAAGAGTTTACCAAAACATCTATTCCACTTGCAGCCCTTCTGACGATGCCAAGTCCTAAGAAGTGACACACATGACACAGCGGAGGCTAAGGAACAAAACAACCTGTGGCAAAGGCAAAGTCTCCAGACACAGAAGTGGAGCATCACCACCCTATTCATAACATAGCCACAGGTGAGACACCATCTCTGGGATGCAAGTAACAACTGGAGAAGACCTTACTTGACATCTCTGTGAATTGTTCCCCATATGTTTTGGGTGTGTGGTTAATTAGACTTGACTCTGTTGCAGCAAACCCTTTCGTGGAGCATCATCTAGGTCATGGTTATATACATTAGTTTCTCAGTAAAGATAAAATTCTGCAAGAATGGCAATAGCTAGAAACGATGCATGTTCGGGTGGGTTCAAACAGACAAAAAACACAACTGTGGGGCATTACAGCAAGAAAAGCCTCCCGCAAGCCTCAAGTCATATTCATACCTTCTGGGCTGGGACCGGCATTCTTCTTCCCCACTGTCTGCCTCCTGTGTGCACAGAGGAGAAAAAAAAAAGAGTTAATATTCTTGAATACAAGCAGAATCCAGAAGACTTTTGTGTTTCACTGGTTTGATGGCAGCAGGCGAAGGGAAACTCTCACTGCTTGCGCACRCAGCTGTCATCGCACGGGCAGGGACTCGCCTTCCGCCTCGCTGCCGTGCCGCGCTCTCTCAAAACCCCTCTAGGAATTTTGTCCCTGCAGGATTTAGCGTGCTTGTGCACGGCCTTCCAGTGACCCCTGCCAAACAAGGGAGGGGAAGGAGCCAAACACTTGGTTTACTTCTCGGGGAAAAAAAATATATATATGTATGGTATATTCATTCATATGCCAGTGTCAGCAACCCAAATGAAGAATTCACAAAACCAGCAAGTAATAAACCTGCCAAATGGGTTTGGGTGAATGCAGATAGATTAGGAAGTGGAAATTTGACATACTACGCTGCTTTAGATGCAAAGTGAATAGACACAATCTCTAAAGTGCTGTGGAATTTTACTGGGCTTACCTATTAAAGCGCAAAGCGATAACTCAGCAGACAGATCTTGAGCAATTAATTCCACTTCACAGTACATTTACATATGTATTATCAGGCAATGACTAGAAATGGGGGGTAGGATGTGTTTTATCAGGGAAAACGTAATCACACCTTTACGTTGGTCTGCAGGAGTGAACACCTTTAGCTTTGGGCAGCCCTTCTGCAGAAAGGGGCAGGTCCAGGGAGAGCATTTGGCTGCAAAGGACAACCCAGCAGGAGCTGCACAGAGTCAACCCAAAGGGAGAGACAGAGCATGAGGCCRTGCTCCGTTTTGATCATTTTTCACATCGTCTTTTAAGGTTAAGATGGACCTTTTGTTAGCGAAGACCTCAATGAGCTTTGGATCATGAAGTCATACAGTGAACTACTACATTCTGGAGCTGTGCATTGCTCCTCAAGTGGAGAATTGGTTTATTAAGGGCAGATGCAAGGTGATCCACTTCTGCTGTGCTTCCGAAACAGCAAAACAGGGCAAAAAGGGCATCTCCAGCGGCCCTTCTGCAAACACCCAAAGGGCAGCTTGAATTCTGAAGCCAAAACATAAGCAGAGAATGACCATGTTTCACCCAACGAAGAAGTGAAAGAGGCCGTTTACACTAGCACCCTGTCATCTCACCTGGCCCAGCTCCCTTTGCAACAGCTTCCACTAAAGTTCTTCCCCAACTGCACAGATCTGGTCAGAACTTTCTCCCCCTTCAGCTTTCCTCCACCAAGCGTTTTGAGGGTGCCCTGTCACGCTCAGGCTGCTGTCCATCGTTACACGCCGTGACGCACAGATGGAAACCAAGAAAAGGACGGTGAGAGATTCCATGGACTAGGGGAAGGATGGGAAACAAGATAAATGTCAAGCCTAAATGGAACTGGGGAAAAAAAAGGGAGAGAGGAACTACACATCCCCATGCTTCTTGCTCAGTCCCACCAAAGAGAGCGTGTACAGACCTGCCACCCAGGGGCAGGAGAGGAAATGAAGCAACGGGAGAGGGAGAAACTATGGGCACATTCACAAAACACAGGGCCTGACGCATTTAAGCATCAGGCTCAGAAAAGGCAGGTGGAAAATTAAATTTCCATAAGATAACTGTATAAACAGTTGGAAGGCTTGTCAGGAAGCAGCATCTATGCTACTGGTGCTTATTGTCTGAAATGCTTCTGTTCAGTTCACTATTTAATATACAGTGACACGCAGACACTTCTGCTGGGGAGTTTATGTCAATACCTCATATTTAAAAGCTCTGAATCTACTAGATATGCGGATATCAAGGAAAAAATATGCTTACTACAGGTGCTCTATTTTGAAGAGCAGAATTAGAACAAGAGGCGGTTCGGTGGAGCCACCTGCAACCAAAAATTCAAGCTAAAACCTGCCGACCATCCACGACAAGCAAGAGCTGGCAGAAATACCTTCCACTCATCACACCTTGAAACCAGCGCAGCATTTCAGCAGCGCGCTAGGGAGGCAGGCAGCCCCTTCTCCTGCAAACAGAAAGGCCCAGTGAATTCCACAATTAAAAGAAAACCAGTTGCAGCGTCATCCGGCAGGGAGGAGAGGCGCAGATGACGGGTGGCCATCCGAGGAGCAGCAGCTCCTTCATGACAGGAGGCCAAGCCCTGGTTCCCGAGGGGCGCCCGCGCTCGGCTGGCAGGACACCCCGGGGTGCTCCGCGCTGCAGCCCYGAGATTTGCCTTGCTAAAGAACAAATCCAATGGAGTGGAGTCACTTTCCATTATTCAACCCTTTTGCAACAACCAYAGGCTGTATCTGGACCAGACTGTTGTGCGCAGCGCCAGACACGGCACAGCTGTCCTGGGGCTCTGCGCTCCAAGGGCAGCCAAAGGCTCCCTGCATTTTGCCTCTGCTGTTTAACACCTTCCAGGCAGTGGCTGCTCTATGGGCCAGGCCACTCGCTTTGCATTTGTCCCCTTTTGGCTTGACAGGTGGCAGYGAGACCTTAAATACGCCGCATTTTGACTTCGTGGAAGGAAGGCATTGAGCRCTTCCAAATAGTTTGCTAGTGCTTAACCAGCCTAACTGCATGAAAGCATCCATGTCCCTAGAACAATCAAGGTCTGATTCAGTCCAAAATGCAGCTAAACAGCCCCAAGGCTGTGGCAGAGGACAGTGCCCATTGCCCTTCCTTTTGGGAGCAAAGGCACACGGCAGCAGAGCTCCATGAAGCCAAGGCAGGCCCTGGGATCGCAGTTCCCATCAGCAGCTCGGCCCCGTGGCCAGCCCCATTCCATCGCTCCRGGTTGCCTGGCCTGGGGAAACGACCCCCAAGCATTAGGATGGTGGTGGTGGATGGGGATGACAAACAGAAGCCTAGGAAAGACAGTACAACCATGAGCCTCTCATCCAGCGAGCTCACTGTCCTTTCCAAGATCAGCGAGACAAGAATCCAGCACCAGCTATTCACATAGATAAGAAAACAGGTCAAAGGAGCCTATCTCAAGTCCTTTTGATGGGCTGCTGAGGATGTGTTGGTTATCACTGGAACTTCGCAGCTCTCACCAGAACCTGAGCTCTAATACGGTCCCTGTGAGTTGACAAAATGTGCAAGAGGGGGGACAAAACGGGGGGCAGGGAGGTGGGCTAGAGGGCACAACGAGGTTCCCCTGCATGCAGGATAGCTGGAGACACCATAGCTATTGGGGAATAAGCCAGAACAGCTCGAGAGCGTATGTTTGGCTGGAGAACAGGTTCCTCAAACCCAAGATAACATAAAGGAACTGAAAGGAGCACTGCAAATCTCTGCTGTGCTGTTTAGTAACCCAAGCTGTGCAAACATCTTTTTTTTTTTTTGTATTAAAATGCATGGCTTGTTTCATGTGCCAAAGAGATCCTGGTCACAGCAATTGGCAAGTTGGGTATCCTATAAGCAAAAATCTTACCCAAGAACAGAAGAAGATCATGAAACATGCCCACTGTTATCTTAGCTCCACTCAAAATTCATCCCTCAAGAGCTCGGTTGGAGGAGGCTGGACATGACCCATCAATTACCATCTGAAGCTCTGAGAAAATCTCTTAATATTAGACATAAACATGGCAGATACGTGTGAGAAGTGCAGCTATTCAGAACAGATCTGACTATGTCTGCAAAAACAGAACCATAGTCAAGTGCTCATTTTTCTCCATGGAGCTTTTCCAGCCTGAGACTCAGGTATCTGAACACCAAAACATCCCTTTAATCATCKTCATCCCACCAAGAACCGCTTTGCAAATGCATCTATACATTGCTGTAGGCAGAAGGCTTTCGATATGAAAGGAGCTGCTTAAAATGCTCCCCTGTTCCACACACCTAACCACTACTGACATCCTCTTGCACACTGGATGCTGCCATCCAATTTATACCACACCTACCCAAGGGCTTCTTGTACTTCTGGTCACTATATAACCCTGCAACTGCAAAAAGTGACATAACCCTCCTCAACCGCCAGCCCAAAGCAGGTTGCAATGACAAGTCACCCCACTAGAGGGGAGGGCAGGACAGAGAAGACATGGCCAACGCATGGTCAAGTGCATTTCCCTTGCTGAAGGGAATGACTTCAGCACTGAAATGACTACCAAACCAAGCARCTTCAGGTTTTCCCTTGCTAGTTTCAGTCTTTTCCCAAGGGGCAGGGAGCATTGCTGCAGTGAGGTAACTCCCCAGCCAAAAAGGGGATCAAAACCTGCAAACGTTTCTTTTCACAGAAATCTGGAGTAAAAGGCAACTGGCAACGAGAAGGATCATGCTTATTGTCTGTGCAGAGAGCGTCCTCAGACCCTGAACAGGAGGCATTTGGGGATGCAACCAGGGACAGTGGCACACTCCAGCTTCCTCAGCCTGTAGCCCCCCTGCTCTCATTGCCCTGCAGCACGTGCTGGATCCAGAGCACTCGGTGTGAGGGTCCAGCAGCTTCTGCAAACACTGCTCCGTTTCCTTGTGCTGGATGGCTCCAGAGCCAGCCCAGCCTCTTGCACCAGCCTGCAAGAGCGAGAAGCTCGAGCAGCTCTGATGTGCTCCAGAGGGAGTCCTGCCCTGCTTTCCTTGACCAGAAACAGAGGCCTCGGGGGAAACGGAAGGAATGAGTCGTGGAGCTCTAACTAGGCCACGGTATTAAAGGCAGTTTAAAGTGAAAGATGAAAAATTCCATCTCTGCTCCTTCCAGGCCATGTAGGACAGAATATGCAAAACATTAATCCTGTTTTCCCTTTGATCCACTGCCAACTATCTGTCATCAAAAGGGCAAGGAAGAGGAGAGAAATTTTTTCACATTGTTCTGTTCTATACAATGGGAGCCACTCCATGTCACGCAGACAATTCTGTTTTTATAAATCTCCTTTCTGCAGACTGATGCAATGATAAAGACTCAATTTGCATTCTCATGTTCAACGACTGGAGTCATCTGCCTGTATTTAACATCAGCAACATCCCAGCAGGTTCTTTGATAAAGATACAGTTATTAACAGAAATCCTACCACTTTATGACATTTCTATTAACAGAGAACATTTCCTACAGACTACACCCTAAATCTACATCTCTGAAATCTTACATGAGATTCCAATTTAATACCTGCTTGCTACATAGGATCTTATGCCAACGTCGCTGCCTGCAGACAGCGCCCGGGACACGTGCCCAGCCGAAGCGCGGGCGGTCACAGAGCCCTCAACCCAACAACTTACCCCGGACAAGGATCTCACAAGGCCTCCACGTTTCGCTCACGGTTATGTGACATCCTTGCCACTGCACAACTACTCTCCCCTTCTTCGTTTCCTAACTCTTGGCTAGGTGTTGCTTTGTGCACAGGCAACTTCATTATTTTCACTCTATGCTGCATTTTCCCCCTTTTATAAATGCTAGTAGAGARTACCTGTAAATTCCTTATTGGAAGACAGGTTTTTCTTCATCTTCCTCTTACTGAAGTACAACTAGTTCTTCTTATTAATGAAATATTGACTTCTTATTTATGAAGCAGAAACTTATTAAGTGTGGATCCCACCAAACCTGCAGCAAGATTCAGAGGGAGCCAGGCCATTAGAAACATTTTTTTTTCACTTAACATTGTCCACCTAACATCAAGTGATCAACTCTGGACTCCATCTCAAAGTAGGTACCTTGGAAAAAAGGCTTGTAATGACCAACTTGCTAGATTTCTGCCTACCCTTCCCTTGGTGAGAGCCCATCCAGTTGTGCAAACACCCCCTAAAAGCCTCGGAGTCGAAGGCGACCTTTGCTGGGAAGCAGACAGCTGCTTTAATCAGACCAGAGGCTGCGCATTCAGGCCTGGATCCAGGCGTTAATTCATACAAACACTCCCCTGCACGACTAAAAGGGAGAGCATCCTTTGTTTTCCCGGGATATGTTTGTTTGGGCTCCAGCTCCTCCGTGCAGGAGCTCTCCTCGTGTGTCAACCAGCGTTAAGCAAGTCAGTGCAAACCCCAACCCCTTCCCAAACCCTTACCCAACGCGTGGATAACCCAGGGGGGTTGAGTTTTGCAGAGGGGGAGCCATCGGGGCAGTCGCAGCCTTCCCTCTAATGCAACAAAATCACCCAGAGATAAGAGCGCTCACCGCACGTTTGGATTCTCCAGGGCTCAACTCCGTGTCAACACAGATATATAGTGACACCGAAGGTGCCATAGGGTGCCCAGCATCTGCACAGGACTGGCATTAGATGCCCATGGGCACAACTGAATAGAGGTCCTTAGAGTGAAAGGCACCAGGATCCGTGCCCAGCCTTCACACACAACTGAAGTTCAGCACCTTCCACGA